AACCGTTCAAAGACACGAGAAAACGAACACGAGAAATAGAACTTGATGATCGGGGCCACAAATGCGCGCCCAGATCGGAAGGATCAACTGGCAGAACGTTTGGTTGTTCGTGGATTCGTTTCTGAACGAGCCAGTTCTGCGGCACGCCACAACGCAGTGATATTCGCCGCTCCAAATCCGGACGCGCCTGCATGACGTTGAATCAGCTCCATAAAGAATCCGTCCTTTTCAAACACCGGGGCGGTGAAAATTTGCAAAAGATAGCTAAATATTCGAAAAACAAGGGAAATATGAGTATTACAGTCAGTATTTCGGCCAGTATGAAAGGTAGAACTGTGCATTGGCGAGGTTTCAGTCCCGGTAAGTGACTAGAGCGATTTTTTCGAGGTGGGGTGGTTGCATTGAAAACTTAAACATCAAAATTTGAAATGAACATGTTGTACCGAAGTGCCGCTCTAGCCACTTTGTCATCGTACTATTCTAAAGTTTTCTTTGGGAATCGAAACAGTGCGAACCAAGCCAACAACATGCACATTTTGTCACATGAATGAGTAGTCTACACACACTCAAATATGTTGTGGTCTATCTCGTTGGGTCAAGATTATGGATAAGAACACTGTGCATTGCATCAGGCTAGTGGAACAATCAGACAAGTAACGCCACGGTTGGGTGCACTGTTTTGGGTGAACGCAGTTGCTCACTGGAGCAAGTGCTCGACCTCCATAGATTAGATTATCTTGGGCATGTGCATCTTTCAAGTGCAAAGTGCTTTTTTAAGACTGGCAGGAGTTTTTGCTTGCACTCACCCTCTGTGGTGATCAGCTGGAAGTAGTTGAGAGCTTGAAGTACCTCGGGAGCTTGATCGCATCTGGTAGGGGTGTCGGGGAGATCACATCACGAATAGCGAAAGCTAGAGCAGTTTTCGCCAACCTACGACACCTGGGGCGCCGCCGTGACATCCGACTGCCCCTTAAGGGAAGGGAGTACATAGCCGCGGTTGGTAGCGTTTTCCTTTATGGTTGCGAGACTTGGCCTCTCCGAGCGGAGGGTGCTAATCGACTTTCTGTATTTGACCACCGATGTCTCCGAAGCATTGCTCGTGTCTGGTGGGAACACCGGGTGAGTAATGACGAGATCCGTCGTCGTGTTCTGGATGGGGATAGTCGTTCGCTAACAGAAGTAATCGCTCTACACCGCCTCTGTTGGCTTGGTCTTGTACTGCGTATGCTTGCCCATCGACTACCATTCCGTGCTCTCTTTGCGCGAGCCGGGGAAGGCTGGAAGAAGCAGCGCGGCAGTCAGACCATGATATAGTGTAGAGACATGAAAAAGCTAGCTTCAGCTTTGGCCTCGGTTGGTGCAGCTCGCCTTCCGGGCTGGAGCTCAAGGGATGAGGATTGTCGTTGGTTAGAGACGCTGAGAGATATGGCCCAGAATAGAAGTCAGTGGCGCGAATGCTGTACGATCTGCCTGTCAAAATCCCGTGCCCCGTAAAAACAACAAACAACAAAAAATATCAAAAAGTGTTAACAGTGAAGCACAAAAAATTATGTCTACCCAGTTATCTTCCATTTTCCCGTGGTTATCTGTTTCATCCTCTTTCCACCTTGTTCTGTATCCCAATCCACCTGTCCCCTGCTACTGTTATTGTCATTATTATTGTGGCGTTGGCACCATGCTTGTCTGCAAGCCATACGCTTGACCGATTGGTGACCTTATTACTGATCGACTTTAGAGTGTTCTTTTTTTATTCTCGTTACAGCCATTTTGTCTGATAAACAGACGGGGTACGCTCCGCAGTTACGAAGACTTGCTGCTGATCAGTGATGGAAACCGACAACCTAAGCCATGGGACTTGGATTGGCGAACTACATAAAGCTCAACTAGGATAGGCATAATATTGAACTGGACGACACCAAAGCTACCTACCACCGTGTGTTACGGGTTGAAAATCAGGGGGTGTTTTTGGCCCATGAAAAATCACGAAGCTTGGACTGTAAAGCATATGATCATGTTATATACAACAGAGTTGTTTGGCGGGCGATAGTTCTCAATTTGTTTGAAACCTCGTCCACTGAAATGCTCTATATGCTCTTCGACTCTATTTCAAATTTCCAGTCTTTCTCCAACTGCTTCATCCAAACGGACAATCAAAAGACCGTAACCAAAACCCGCGCACGAAGGTGCACAATTCATGGTTGTACAAACTGAAACGGAACTGCACAACAGTTCAGCCAGTTCAGTCAATAAAGAGCACTGGAAAGCTACCTTGCCCGTTCGGGAACTTGTCAGTATTGCATTTCATGATTACATCCCGGTAGCGACTCGAACCGCGAATCATCGATCGGAGAGCCGAAACTCTGAACTGCATGATCGACGACCGAAATCGTGAGCCATTTGGACGCATGGTCTGTGTGGTGTAGTCCTGGAAGAATCCCGGCAGAGATACAAGACTGACGAGTATCAAAAAAACATGAAACAACTGTTAGTTATTCTCAGTTGACCTTGATTAAAATCGATTCGGGGGATATGGAGAAGAGAGCAATTTCAGTATCACCATAAACCGGTAGCGAACAGATCAGTAAGGTAACACAAACGAGTCGATAGCCAGTCCGGTGAGTGCTTGTGTAAAAATGAATAATAATTGTGTATTGCCATTAGGAAGGCTACGTGAGATCGACAGAGAGGCGAGAAAACGGGACGGGGGTGGGAATGGTATCCCCAAAATGCATGCAATGAAAGCCATAAACTTACGCGTCATCGTTCCGACTGGACGGTTGGTTCTGACTCAGAACTTCCGTATCCAAAAGTACACCGGAACTACGAAGTACTTCAATGTCAATCTGTGAGTGGTGCAGCGAGGATGTTTTAAGGAGCTGATCAGTCAAAGAAATAAAGCAAACAGGTGCAGAAATTAGTTATTGGTTAGAATCGTTCGAATTGCTGGTCATCATGCCCTAGACACAGCACAATTGATGACTCTCATCGAATCACAATGTCTGTTATCATTTAGGCTGATCGTCTTTCAATTGTCGTTTCCAACTCAGTGGGTACAGCTGACTTTATGCAACAATATGTTTTTCAGGTGCCCTTCATCCCCACTCACCCTGAGTACATAGTACGATGAATTTCAGTAGCAAATTGAGGTAATTTCATTGGGATACTCTACCCCTTACGACGAGACTCCACCTTGATGTTGCGCGATGGTTTGCATGCTTTCAGAACCCTGAAAGCTAAACGGGTTGGTTTCTTACAGACGCAGACTCAATCAAGCATGAAAAGTCAACGGGCAGAGACCAGACAGAGGTCAGTCTTAAAAGCCCATCTGATTAGACACCTCTTGGTTTCATTTGACTATCCACTCTCACCTCTGGAAACACGACTCCAGCAAATATACATCCGGAAAAGTAGGTCTGAGAAAATCCCGCCGGTGGACTAATTCTACATACTTCATTAGACAATTACTATTAGCCCAAGCGGAGCAACCCTCGGCCAGTAAGATGCCGTGCAAACCAAGGTTCGCCTATATCACTGAGCGCCGGGGCTACAGGCTTATTTTAAAACGGTGAAAAGACCGCCAACGCGCTGACGGACTAACCAAAACCCGCAGGCCATGTGTGACATTACTATAGAATTACCGAACACGAGTCCTGTAACGGCAGTGAAACCGAACGGGCCAGAAATGCCCTCAGCACCACTGACGGTCTTTATTTTTCCTTTCCTTAGCCAGGCATTAAATGGGTGAATACTGTAAAACGGAAGCACAAAAAGGCTTATGACCAACACGAACCTCGAGTCCTCGCCTTCCTTAGCATGTTCCTGGAGATCGCCATATATAACAAACGCTCGTATCTTTTCCCTTCGTTTATGTGATTGATGACGAGAGGTGCCATCAAGTGCGACGGTTAAAAGAACGTTCGTTACTGTCAGTTCAGAGTGAGCTATCGCGTATCCCCGTATGTGCAATCTCATTTTTGGACAGACATCAAAGCCCTTTGGTCCCGTCCCGCATTGGCTCTGCGTCCTGTTGACTTGGATTTCAGAGTTCTGAATCAAAGGCTCGGAGTCGAGTGTTTCAAACAAAAGCCCCTTCGTTGGCTGCTGCGTAGCACGCCGTTCTCTAGCGTTTCCTACGAACATTGGAAAAACAACCCGCTTTCTATCTGTCTTGTTCCGTCCTCCTGTTTCTGACCGTTATGTTATATCACTCAGAGTTTACCCAATAAGGTAGACCAATCAATGGGACAAAAAGCTTCTTAATTTAGCCATATTGAATGTCATCCCAGTCTATCAGATTACCCAACAAGTCGCCTTAACCAGAGCCATTGAAATTTTGAATTTAGAGATATACTGTGTCTTGATGAATGATGGACAGAACATCTGAAGCTACAACTCAACTAACCTCCATCACCATAGCACAATCGAACTCCTGCATCATCTGGATAACTATTGTCAGTCAATATCAGTCCTACATATGAAATGGAGATTACCGGGGAAATAAAATTTCGCAAATGATATAAAGCTTCTGGCCCGCGGAGGTTTTCCCTGTAGGTTTTTAAGGAAGCCGAGTTAGTCCTTGTTTTGGAAATGATGGAGGTCATGGGATTCGTATGGGGAAATAAACAGAATCGGACAGTGTGATGCAAATCGGTCACCTTAGCGATATCCAAGAAAGGTGACAGATCCTGCTGTCAAAATTACGGAGATATTCAGTTCAGTTCAGTTCAGTTTGAACAACCATTGATCATGCGCTTTTGTGCGCCGGTTTTGGTTGCTGCCTTTTGGCTGCCCATTTGGATGAACAATAAGAGAAAGACAGAACAGCAGACGGGGTAAACACCTTAGTCACTAAGATTTGCTGTTGAGGGATGGAAACCGGTAATCTAAGCCCCGGGACTTGGAAACACATAAGGTACGGCTAGGTTAGGTGTGGTAATGAACTGGACGACAACAAAGCTGCCTACTACCAAAGTCTCTAAATTTCTCATTAGCATTTAACTCCGTCGAATGAATGCCACACACATGAAGTATATAGACGGGTGAGAACCGAAGTGGTCTTAGACCGGTCGGGGTTGTATAGACCATAATTTCACTCTATACCATATTCTACACCTTTAGCCAAAACCCGAAATGCTGTAGCCATGACCCATAGTCCTTTAGCGTACACGCACAAACTTGAGTCACGCCGCAGTAAGCTAGTCGGATCAGAAAGTATCGGAATATTCTGAATTCAACTGATGTTGGAAAAAAATTCATTCTCTACAAATGTTTATTTTGCAAAGTTTGTTTAATAAATAAGGTGTGGCGGTCGCACACCGTACTACATGTTGACTGGAGAATATATTTAACCGATATACCCGTATCGTCGAACCACTTTACAAACCTCGTATAGCTTTGTTGTTTCCCTATAACAGGCGATACTCCTTTGAGTAAAAATCTCAAGTATAATGCATTGTTTTGCATTCAGAAGTGAACTCTGTTCATGAGATGTGGATATATAGACATAAGGAGGATAATAAACACCGTTAACAAAAATACTGCAACATTTGACATAATTATCATGGTCGAAGCTCAAGAATTACGGGTTTTTGTCTAAAGCTTGTTGGGAAACGGTGTGCTAAATGGGCTCTTTTGTGAACAGTGTTTATTATCCTCGGCCTGTTCCTGTATCCACACCTCAACAGCGGAGTTCACTTTAGACGAATTTACGGAACGATAAGCATGAATTGTTTGTAGTATCACTTTTTAATTTATTTCAGAGCTTGCGAATACAAAGCAAATTACCGTTTGTGTTACACTTGACATGTTTACCCACAGGAGTGCATTGCATGTTATACGGAAACAATGAAGCTGTAAGAGATTTGCCAAATGGTTTGGCGATACAGGCACATCGGTTACNTACGGTGTGCGACCGCCACACCTTATTTATTAAACAAACTTTGCAAAATAAACATTTGTAGAGAATGAATTTTTTTCCAACATCAGTTGAATTCAGAATATTCCGATACTTTCTGATCCGACTAGCTTACTGCGGCGTGACTCAAGTTTGTGCGTGTACGCTAAAGGAATATGGGTCATGGCTAATGGTTTTGGCTAAATGAATGTTGTGCAGCAAAACAGGTTAACGGATTGCGGAACGCACCCGACCACAGAAGCACTGACATCACACTGGGCTCGTAAATAAGTGGGGTTATCTATTCACACACACACACACACACACACACACACACACACACACACACACACACA